AAAAAAAAAAGAGAGTGCTTGAATCTAAACAGTTCTGCAGTTCAATTAAATGTTTACAGTAAAAAAGAGTGCCAAAGGATACAGGCTAAAGTGACTGTCTTTAAATAAATCAGTGTTTCCAATCAGAACACAAGACTGAAATACTAAATTATAAACTACATAAATCACTAAGTTTAAATATGTCTCTGTTTCTACTGATTTTAGATATCAGCTCAGAACAAGTAATAGCAGTTATCTGATTAGGAACAGTGTTTCATAGTTCCTAAGTTGCTTTCATATTAAACTGGATATAGTACAAGTTATTTAGTATTATTATAGTTATATTATCTAGTAACACATACCAATAAAGGAAAATAAAATAACCTTGACATCTTGAAATGAAACAGGATCTTGTCCATGGATTTTCATTAATTCTTGTATGGCCTATATTTAATGGAAATAAATATGTAAATAAAATGTCAAATTCACATCACCCCCCTTCTTCCCCCTCTAGTTCCTTTCCTGTAAGACCACAAGTCTCAATCATCTTCCTTCTCTTGTCAGTCTTAAATTTCTGACTTTGTTCTACTTCCAAGTGAGAATAACACTCTGAATCTGCTATTTCCCCACCCTACACATCACTGTCTACTGAAAAAAACAGACAACTCTCAAACTCTTCCTTTTAAAAACAAAGCTGGGCATGGTGGCACAGACCTGTAATCCTAGCACCCGGGAGGTAGGAGATCACAAGTTAGGTCATCTTATGCTATGTAGCAAACTTAGGGCCAGCCTGTTATGTAGACCTTGTTGTAAAACACAGACCTCATTTCAAAAACCAAAAATTTTAACAACAACAACAAAAATCACTGGAGAAGCTACTGCCTTTCATGTCATTCATTTGGAAGCTAAAATTCCTGGTAGTCAACTATCTTACAAATACCTACATTCTTTGAGGTGCCACTAATCAGAGTATTCCCAGGGGATACTTTGATAAAATAATTTCATGCTTGAAACATGTTTACTGTGTATACGGTATGTTCATGTGTATGGGGATATCCATATGCCCAT